TGTACAGTGAATATTGGCCGAAATTGGGGATCAAGTGTTAGGCAAATCGCCTCGACTGCGTAAACCATCGCCGAGACAGCCTACTTTGCGCGAGCATAAATTCCGTAAGTTTCTATCAAAATTTCAAACTTTTGGTGTCTTTATGATCGGGAAAAGATTCTCTATCTTATCATTAGAGATAAATAATTTTTTTTTTTTTTAAATTTGGCAGACCCTGAGAACGAGTTTTTTTTTCTTTTTTTTTCTTTTTTTTATTTTTTTTTTTTTTTTTTTTTTTTTTTTTTTTTTTTTATTTTTTTTTCCCTTTTTTTTTTTTTTTTTTTTTTTTTTTTTTTTTTTCCTCTTTGTTTTTTTTTTTTTATTTTTTTTTAGTGTTATTCTTTTTGCAATTTTATTTTTTTTTCTCTAATTTCTTATTTTCTCTCTTTTTTTTTTTTATTTTTTTTTTTTTTTTTTTTTTTCTTATTCTTTTATTAAAAATTTTTTTTTAGGAGCATGGCCTGTGTCCTCTCAAAGGGTTAAAGGTCCCATCTGAGGAAAGGATCCGAAAGAATACAATTAAATTTAGCCTGAGATAGGTTGGAAGACAGCTGAGTGTAATTTGGTTCTTGTAAGCAAGCACAACAGGGAAAACCTGGAAAAGCACATTGAGACTGACCCCGATTACCCCTGGAGCCGCGGATATTCCCACTGATAAATAGGCTATGTTGGCGATGAAGAAAATACCATGGAATCTGTAGGTAAAGGCACTCTACGGACTAGACGGGTTAGAAAATGTCAACGTGTGGGGGCATTGGAAAGACGTTCAAGTATGAAGGAACGGGACGTTGCAAGAAATGGGGTTGTGTAGATGGAGGAGAGGGAGAGAAGGAACAGGAAGTTGAATTCAGTGTCCATGAAGGTTTTAGTCTCTGCATATATTCTGAATTCGGCTTCAAGTGTTTCTGAATTCTATGATGTAATGGGAGGCACACATATTGGAGATAGGAAGGAGGAGGGTGAGTAAGATTGGGGACAGTAATGGACTGTAACCCATAAGTAGAGGGGGAGGGATCGGTGTATGGACCTGGAGATGATGTGTGGGAGGGGACAGAAGCAGGCAGAATCTCCTGGGAGGTGGCAAGAAGAGGAGAAACTTGGGGAGGGGACGGGGGTGGAGGCTATAGTACCGTGGAGGAGGGTGATTATCCACACTTGTAATAGAGCCAGAGTGAGGAAGAAGCTATGTACAGAGGGACGGAAAGGTAAAGTGTGGAGGTGGTAAGAAGGAAGGAAGGGGCAAAAGAAGATTTGAGCAATGTGGATATTTTGGACTTCTGAGACGGTAGAGGGGGCGAATGGTTCTAGGTGTCGTTCGAGGTCTTGTCGATATGGGGCTTGTGAGTAGGACGCGAAGATGTGAGAACAGACTGAGGTGTAGTCGGGACGTCAGAGCCAGGACAGCAAAAGCGTTAGATGCTGGAGTGGCTTTGGGTGGGGTAACAAAGAGAGCAGGTGCAGATGATGGACCCCTGAAGTGGGGGGATGTTTGGAATCACGAGAATAAGGAAACACGGGGTAGTCTCCTTGGAGGACGAGGATGAGTAACTGCCATAGCATAAGGGAGTCACTTCTGCTCTTTGAGGGCAACGGAATTTCACGTTCTTTTAAGTAGACCTGGCAACGGTGGGAGTACAAGGGTGAGCTTTCATTACTAATTAAGGCTAGATGGATGGGTTGACTGCAAGATGTATTAGATGGATACGTCGTGCCCCACACATCTAGACTGAGGGCATTCGGCCATAGATCTCGCAATATTTCACTGCGCGTGACCACAAAACGCCAGCAATTTCCTACTTGTTGCGGTGTAGTATCACCTTTAGAACTTGTAAACCGATGTCCAGGTCTATACAGCAAGGCATGCGGAGTTCTCGGACTATCATAGTTACAATGGCCCACATTGCAAGGGTAACGTCTCAGCACCCGGGGGGGGGCAGGAAGGGACATAGTGTCATACTTTGACGTGTTTGGGTGATCTGGAGTTCCAGCTGTTCAAAAAATGTCATTTGCCCACATGATATCTGCGAAAGTCGTTGGGAACACTATGGTCAATGGGGCAGCAATGATAGTCTACCACTAACAAGATTGAGATGATTAAAGATGTCTTTTTAATTAGTGATAGGAGTAGTATTGATATTCGAATGGAGAGGAAAGATCATGAGCTTGGAGTTAGCATTCTGGACACAGTGACGATGCGCGTACTCGATCTTGATAAGAGCATGAATTGTAATACTGCTCTACCAACATGATGCAGGAGCGCTTTGCCAATTACTATGGTCAGATAAGGTAGGGCAGAAGAAGTCGTAGGTCTTAAAGTAAAGAATTCTAGTCATTGTGTGGTCGAATACTGAGCGTGGAGAGGGGTGTTGATGTGTCGGTCTCTTTTCGAGTAGAATCGGAAAGGTAAAGATGGAGCAATATCAGGAGATTGACGTTGGCGTTTAGGAGTAGGACGGAGTTTGGTCCGGTGTGAAATGTGGCAAGTCGATAAATTGCCGTACCGTAGAGGGAGACAGCCGGTAAGCATAGCTCAAGGAGAGCGGAGTTCAGACAAATCGAAGGAGTCAGTTGAAGCCCAGGTACCAGAGGCGGGTGAGGAAAACAGCACCTGCAAGAGGTTCAAGGGCATCAGGAGTGTAAGAAGTGTGGTACTAAACACAGGCAGGGTCACGAATGGGGTGCGGTATCATGAAGGGGCCCGGGCGGTAGTGGGTTCATGGATTGGGTTCTCCATGGTTAGTTATCCTTTGCTTTTGTTTTTAAGAAAAAAAAAAGAAAGAAGAAAAGAAAATAACAAATAAAAAAAAAAATAAAAAGGGGGGAGCGGGGAGCGGGAAAGTTCCCAGGAGGAATGAGAAGAGACGCGCAAATCTCCTCGTTGCCAAGAGGGAACCTCAGCACCGTAGAGCGCAGATGCAGCAGCATGGCAACCTGTGCCTTACTCTACCCTTCATGCCAGTTAACCCGCAATTCGGGATAGCTCAACCTCACATCTGACCGCGTCTACCTCGGTGGAAAAACAAGAGAGGCTGTGCCGAATTTCCGCACAAAGATACCTCTCTCTTCGGCCACCACCCCCGTAAAGCAAAAAGAAGGTGGCTCTTCCAGATAACACCGTCAGCCGAAAAGACACCCAAAGATACGCGGGCGGTACCGGAGAGGGTTCGGGACATCCAAGGCGAATCCAAGATTCCACTAGCAAACTACGCCACCGCCAAGAACATCACGGAATGGGATGGGCACGTGTATCCTTTCCCCTACCTACGGAACTAGCGTGCCTGTGGGAGAAATCCCAAAGGCCAAAAGAAGAAGCGGGCAAAAGGAGGGGTGGGGAGGAGGAGGAGGAAAGAAGAAAAGGGGAGGATGGGGAGGATTGGGATTAGGGAAGGGGGGGATTGGGGGGTAATTAGGTTCGGTTGTGGAAGAGTGACGACAGGTCTGATTCCTAGACTAGAGCTCTTCACCACAGCAAGGAGCCCCCGCTTGAGACGGAAAGACATCTTCTGAGCTACCTCGGTGGACAAAATCCCCATCACCCTCAGAGGGCGGCCGGATATCCGCCACAAAGCATACCTCCTTTGGCCAACAACCCGGAATCTGAAAGGTAGCTTCCAGAAGATACACCCGTCGCCCGAGTAGACACCCAAAGCCACCCTCCGGGATACCCGGAGAGGGTTCGGAGGACATCCCAGGCCAAACCAATCATTTAATACGGTCATAACTAAGCCACCCAAGAACCTTCAACGGAATGGGATGGACCCAAGTACCCTCTTTCCACTACCTGGAACTAGAGTGCCTCTGTGGGAGAACAAATAATCTCAAAGGCCAAAAAGGAAGCGGCAAAAGGGAGGGGTGGGGAGGAGGATGGAGGACCGGAGAAAAAAGCGGGGGAGGGATGGGAGAAGGAAGGGGGATTGGGGGGGGTACCTTAGGATCTGTTGAGGAAGGAGACCAACTGGTCTTAATTCCTCAGACCAAAAGCCTCTCTTCACCACGCCAAGCGAGCCTCACGTTGTAGAGGAACTGTATTTTTTAGTAATATAATATAGATTTAGTGTTTAGATTCTGGTGGTCTCCCACCTAGATCCTCATTATTCCAAAAATCCAAAAAAAAATTACCGAAATCTGAAACAGTTCAGTCCCCAAACCTTCTGTATGAGGGATGCTCAAAACTATACCGATATTTGGTTAGAAAAACACTAAATATTGTTCTATATATATATATCTAAGTAAGCTATTGCATTTTATAAAGGTATTTTTCTCCCCCCCCCCCCCCAATGAAATAAAGTTTTTAAAACACAGCTTTTCTCTGAATAGAACTATCTCTAACATCAAACTAGAATATTAGATTACTATTCTGAGCACAGCCTCCTACTCGCGCATGGCCGCTCTATTCTTCAAACGTACAAAGTTTATATTACTGTTTATTACTCCTTTCTTTAAATAAAACAAACAGTGTTTGATTATCTTTACGAGTTCTATTTTGTTACTAGAAAGTTTGTTTTAAATGTATTAAATATAACTAAGGTTCTCCTTACATTTTGCTAACAAGGACGAACTTAATAATTTCTTTTAAACTGAGTGAAAAGCATCATGGAGTCTTTCCTTATGTGAATCATCATGTGTGTTATCTAGGGAGGTCTTTTGTGTAAAGTTTTTTAGCATTCTGAAAATGATATGGCTTCACTCATGTTTGTGTGTTGTCTTGCATGTTTGTATTAGGAGTTTGTCTTTTTTCTCGAAGAACCCTCTTGTTATGTCATAAAACACTGAACAAATGGTGTGGTTTCTCTCCTGTATGAGGTTTTGCATGTTTTACAAGTTTTGCTTTTCAGTAAGTGTCTTTTTGACATACTGAACAGTGATATGGTTCTCTCCTGTTTGAATTCTGATGTAGCCTAACTAGGTCAGTCTTGTGTAAAAAGTTTTCAAGAACTAAGAACACTGTTATAATTGTTTACCTGTATGAATTCTCATGTGTCTAACAAGTTCTTTATTTTGTGAGAAGATTTTTGGACACTCTGAACAGTGATATGGTTTTTCCCCTGTATGAACTCTTGTATGATTTATTAGTCTGACTTTTTCTGAAAAGGCTTTGAAACACAATGAACACTGATGTGGTTTTTCTCCAGTATGAATTTTTGAATGCGTTGCTAAATTACTTTTTTGGGTAAAGTCTTTCAGACACACTGAGCACTGATATGGTTTTTCTCCTGTATGAATTCTCATGTGTGTTACTAAATTATATTTTTGTTTAAAGTCTTTTAGACACACTGAACACTGAAATGGTTTCTCTCCAGTATGAATTCTCATATGTGCTTCTAAATTGTATTTTTGTTTAAAGTCTTTTAGACACACTGAACATTTATATGGTTTCTCTCCAGTATGAAGTTTCATGTGTGTTCCAAGGGCAGAACTTCTTGAAAAGGATTTCAAACACTTTGAACATTGATATGGTTTCTCCCCAGTGTGAATTCTCATATGTATTACCAGGGCAGATTTTCTGGAAAAATCTTTAAGACACACTGTACACTGATAATGCTTCACATTTGTATCAACACTCATTTGCATTACTACAGAGGATTATATTTTGAGTATAAATACAGTTCTTGATCAGAGATCAAGTGGAATTATCTCTAGGTAGTTATACAGGAATAAGACAGTATTTTTCTTCTGGAAATAAGTCACTTTGTCTGACTTTTTTGCGTTACCCTAGGTTCTCTGCACATATGCTGCTATATGTGATACTCTATGTAACTGTATTTATGTATACCTGAATAAACTTACTTATTATCAATCCCTAGATAAACAAAATATTTGCACTTAATTTTATTAATGTTTTGAAACAAATCACAACAATTATATTCTTATACACACAGCCTTGTGTATCCTGGAATTCATTTACTGGCTAAAGTTCCATTAGCTACATTAGAAAAAAAATTGTGAAAAGGCATTATTAAAATAGTATTTATAATATGAACTCTCAAATGTACTTATGATTAAAATATTTCTATTGACAATACTGAAATACTAGTATGAACTTTTCTTAGCATATACTCTGCATATATTACCACAGTAAATTTACTTAATCCTCAAATCTGTTTTCTGTCTGCCAGAGCTTTTCATTAGTGAATAAATCTGAACAGTTTTATTCACTAATGCAGTTTATTGTACAACTGAGCTCTCTTTAAGCTTAATTGTAATAAATTCTGTTAAAGTTTATCATCTAACATATTAAGTAATTATTATTGTCATATAACATGTACATCTATGGTAACCAATTATTAATTATTCCAGTAATTTCATTTTCTGATATTAAATCTGAATGTAATTCCTAAAAAAAATATTCTATAAATGATTATGTACACAGCAATGGGTAAAAACCTAAAAATTTTAAGGTGAAAATATTACTAGTCACAGGACTTTATCTAAGTTCATGCAGGACTCTTAATAATAGTACAGAAGGGCAGATGAGACAGATGATACAAAGTGTAGCTCTAGCAGCAAACTTCAAAGTGCATTCAAACAGCAATGTTATCTATTTAACACTTGGAATACTCATACACACTTACAAAGAGCTAATACTGCAGCTTATTCTCCTGCCAGGAATGATACATGTTCAGATATGAATGGATCCTATTTTTCCCTCAGCCACCTTATTACCAGATGTAGTATACAGTGATTTTTCTAATTTGCTTATCTGAAGGTAAACAAAGTTTTTAGAGGTATATGTAACCTAATCTAACCCAAGTTATCTTAATTAGAATTACCATAAATAAAGAAAAAGAAAAGACATTGAGAAAATAAGAGACAGAAAAACTGACTATTAATAAAATGAAAAATTTATTATATAAAATTACAGTTGGAAACTGAGGTTTTTCAAATAAATTTAGTTTCACTTATAGAGTATATCTCCTTCCAAAACATAGATAAAGTGAAGGTCAATGAGCTAGATGTAGATAATGCACATAGTTATTCAGATGAGTGGTAAACCTGAGTAATATGAATGAATTTGCATTCACTGCTCATAGGATTTGGAGAATTTCATTGAGTACTAACACCATCCATGTTGTTTCTGATACCAGGGTGCTTTGTGTCACTGGGTGTTGACACTACAAGTGTAGTTTTCCTCCTTTATGAATGAGCTGAAAAAAAAAATGAGAAATTAATACGGCTGGTATTAGATTAAGAAACATCTCTGATTATCAGCTCAATCTTAGCTGCAAAAATAGCCAGATTTCTAGGTACTTTGGGCATTTATTTTATATCACATACAATATGTCCTGTCACTTGGTTGGCAGTGTGCCCAGCTCACATACCAAGTGTCTGTGGTTCGACTACCGGCAGGGTGGAAACGTTGGGCATGTTTCCTTACACCTGCTGCCCCTGTTCACCTAGCAGTAAGTAGATACCTGGATGTTAGTCGATTGTTGTGGGTTGCATCCTGGGGGTGTGTGGTATATCTTGGATAGGGCTGCACTTTGAAATGAAATGAAGTAGGATAACAGCTCTTAGTCTGTAAAACTGATCTGTGTAGGAAAATTATTATAATCACCGACAATGGTCATACAGCGCTGCTGGGCAGAAAATAGCGCTGAGGCTATAAACAGCTAGGTGGAGAGGTGATCAGAAGTGAGGGGAGAAAAGGGCTGGAAGGGACCCCTAAGGGCTATGTGTCAAAGTTCGTACAGTAAAGCACTGGCTAACAAAAAGTCAAAAAGCGATTGCAAGCCAAAAACAGGACCGTCTGCAAGAAGGGAAGATAAGGCAAGAGTGGTAGGGTGGCGGTGGCATCATTGGAGGTAAATCCTGTGAGCTCACTGGTAAACTAGGCAATTGACAAAAAAGTGAAGAACCGAAATAGGGACCTGATAAACCTCACAGAGAGGCATAGGGTGTCATTCCATGAGATACCTATGGGTAAGGAGAGAATGGCCACTGCAGAGCAAGGAGAGCAAAGTCTCCCAAGAACGTCAACAGTGGTAAGAAGATGGCCACAAACCTAAAAGCGATTTAACCCCTTCAGGGTCCAAAGCCAAAATCTGAAGTGGTGCTCCAGTGTCCAAGAAATTTTGAAAAAAAAAAAAATTATTTTTTCTTACAGAATTAAAGAGCATATTTTTGTGAAGGTAATAAGACAAAAAAAAATTCTGATCAGTACTTACCGAGATACAGTGCCAAGAAGTTTGTCAAAAATGATGTGGTGGCGGCAACATCGACGAATTCCACATACGCGCATTCCCATTATTTTGCGGTTTTTGTTTTTTTTTTCTTTTCTTTTCCAATTTTTTTCTATTCCTACTAACATTTGGGGCCTGAGAGACCAATACTGTATATAATGTATATATATAAACTCATGTATTGAACACAATAACCGCACTAAAGTTATTATCATATTATTGTTTACCACTGTTGTTTATTACAATAAAATGCAAAAATTTTTTATATCATAAATTTCATATTTACAATCACTGGACATGGTTTTAGAATGCTGGAGCTTGTGGAACTCTTGAAACAAGGCACCATGCACAGAGGCCCCTTTTACATTCCTCACACATAAACGGGTGTCTTTGCGTCTTTGTTGCCGTCTTTTTGGGTTTGTGCACAGCGATGCATCTCTTCTGAGCAAATTTTCTGAGTTGAAGGAAGTTGTATTTGAAATGATCACCTTCCCTCCTCAAACGCTTGGGTTTATATCCTGAAAAATTCGAGGACCGTGTTGTATAGAGGTGTTCTTCCCTGGTACTTCATTATGAGTTGTCTGACAACAGACAAACAAAATTCACCATAGGGTGGTCTGTTGCCAGTCTTTATTTGGTACTATATTTATGCATTCAGCATTGAAATGTCCTGAGATGGAGAAAAAAGTTTCATGTACCACTTGTAACTCTTACAAACACAGTCAACAAAACCAATCTGCATGTCACACTTGTAAACCCAAAGGCATGTTTTGTGTATAATCAATCACTGTCACTGGTTTTTCGAATACGTCTTTTGTCACTCGATCAACTTTGCCACTGCTTGCATTTCATTACGGTGAATGGTTGTCAACAATGTGACATCTCGTTTGTCATGCCACCGTAATCCCATGATGTCATTGGCAAGTAAACACCTGCACGTCATCACCACGAGCACTGCGTTGAGCCTGGGATTGTTTACGATTAGAACTCATATGCCACACACATTGTCTTGTTCACTAGCATGAAATCACTGGTAATGGGCTTGTGTACCGTTATCGGTATATAATGTATCCCCCTTTTACCAAGATAAGGTGCCATCATGTTTCTCACTATGTCCCCTGAGATACCCAATAACATCTTGGTATCTTTAAATGTTTTATCCCGGGTGTATACAAAAATATCCAACAACAGGCCCTGTCACAGTCACAGAGCCCCAACAGTTTTTACCAAAGCGTTTCCTCTTGCTCGGTATATACTGCTTGAATGACAGTCTACCTTTGAACAAAATCAAAGACTCGTCAATTACAAGATTCTTGAATGGATAAAAGTATATGCTGAACTTTTGTTTGAGATACATGAAAACATTTCTAATCTTGTATAACCTGTCACTTCTGTCAGGCCTGGTTTTGTCAGAAAAGCGCAACATACGTAAGAGTAAGAATAACCTGTTCACTGGTATGATTTCACTGAAGACCGGGGTAGAAATTAGCCGATCTGTGGACCAGACGTGAGGCATAAGCATTATTGTTGCAAAAAGCAAATACATTTCTGCAACAGTCATCTCTTTCCACCTGTGTAGTCTTGACTGTGGTGATAAGATGTATTTCCCATGGTGTACCAAATATACTTATTACTTTCCCTGACAATAATTTCCATCAATGGCTGGTCAAAGAATAATTCAAAGAATTCCAGTTCATTGGCCGTGGTTCCAAGGGGACAAGTAGGTAGAATTCCACTTTGAGAGTCATCAAAGTGGTGAGGCTTGGGAACAAAATTGGGATTTTGCTGCCAATCCCACATACGGTTTGCTGGTGGATACTGGACATCATAGGCTGGTTGTGCGGGTGGTTGTGGTTGTGGTGGGTGGTGGCTGGCGCTCCGCTTTGCCCTTGAATGACGAGTCAGCAGCGTGGGTCCCAGCGTGGCTGGTGAGTCACGCATGGCGGTGCCACTACCATCACCACTAACACCATCCACTGATGCCTGTGGTCTATCCATGCCAAGTGTATAGAATCAGCCCAGATCCGCCTGCCTGTTCAGCCTATAGTATAGTAGTGTATGTCGGGACGACATACGTAACTTTGACCGAGCTGTCAGCATAGTTGCTGATCCCTGTATTCCCTGTATTATATAGCATAGCATATTAGTATCATCCATGTGCTTTAGATACGAGATCCCTTGTAGGCCTGTGGCTTTGTGTGACGTCACGGGATGCACATGTGTAGGCTCATATCTCTGCCCCGCTCTCACTCGGCGGCAGACCATTCAGCAGACAGGCAAGGCAGCTGGGCTCCATCCCTCACCATCTCAGTCTGACAATATATAGTTACCATCCAACAAATGTGTCTACCTTCAACCTACGATATCTCCATTTAAGAACCCTTACGATATCTCTGCCCCGCTCTCACTCGGCGGCAGACCATTCAGCAGACAGGCAAGGCCTGGTCACAGACCGGGCCGCGGGGGCGTTGACCCCCGGAACTCTCTCCAGGTAAACTCTCTCCAGGTAAACATCATCCTCACTATCACTACCTAAAACTGGTGCTGGGCCACGGGATGTACTCCGGGATGTACTCCGTCCCCTGGGCACAGCATAGGGTACACTACCCGAGCGCATGCGGCGGCGAACATACCGACGCTTCACTGGTGAATATGATTCCTCACTATCACTACTCGAATGATCGTCGAGCGCAATAAAATCACAGTCCACGTCACTATCATCATCATTACTGAAGTCAGAGGCCTGGCCACGCAAAAATATTAGTTTTCTCTTGCGATGAGGAACAACCGAACGTGAGTCACGAGTGCCCCCACCAGAGGTAGAGGTTGAGGATAGTCAGGGTTTTCTGCACTATTATCGATTATCTGGTCATTCTTTTCGGTTAACTGATCAAAGCCCTAGAATTGTTCTTCTTTCACTTTTCCTCGTGTCAGATATTTAGATAGGAGAGGAGAGAGTCCCAAATTTTCCGGGGAGTGAGAGTGTTTGCGAGAGGCATGTTGAACAAAGGGGACGAGCGGCGTTACACAATGATGCGGGAGGCCCCTTTGATTTTGTTTTATGGTGCACACCCACCAGCAGCCGTTCTCTCACATGTAGGCTATGAGCGTTTCCGCTAAATTTGACGGCGCTAGAATTTTGGCGTAGATTTACGGTTTGGACACTCAAGTGAGCGTAGATCTACGGGACGGACCCTGAAAGGGTTAATAGAGTGCCAATTTGTTATGGTGCATGCTGACCACAGTTGTTGCAACGGCCCGTGAAAATGGGGCGATGAGTGGAAATAATCTTGAATGAAGCCTTATAGGGAAACCAGAAGATCATGCACCGTGCCACGAAGCAGCATTCTGCAGTTATGACATGACATCAACGTGTCCAGGGGGACAACAGAAAACAAGTCTTGTTTTTGCTAGGCCCCATGGCCAAAACCTAGTTGAATGTGGGTTCCCTTTGACTGTTTTCGACGGATAAAAGTCTTACGAGCCAATGTTTCTGACGTTTTGTACACTCAATAATTCTAGGGGCTTCAATAAGGGGGGAGAAAATGGTAGGCCACATGTGAGAGAATGGGTCTGTTGGTTTAGTGTTTCACCACATAAAAAAAATCCTGCAGCCAAAACATTGCGTAATGAGAAAAAAAATAAGTTTTTTGGATTAAAACGCGACTTTGAGTGTATTTTCGTAAAGTATTTATCAATGTATTGCGTTTTCATGGTCTTAGGGTTAAATGGAAAACACTATTACAGAAATAGGATGATTTTCATTACTTTGACGATGAAAACGACTTTAAACTGAGCTCAAGTAGGGAAATGTTTAATTTTTACCATGTTCAGGAGTAAATAAATCCACCAGTCCAATAAGTCAATGGGGGAATCTAATATTCTTTATGTCCTGATATATTTATACCAATTTTTCAAAATTTTGCAGTGTCTGCATAAAGTAAATTTTGTATTTTTTTTTGTAT